CTGGACGCATCCGACAATCCGTCCGCCGTGCGAAACTATCTGGCGCGTTGGACGCACGTCGGATCGCCGATCCGACACCTGAAGCGACCAAATTTTTCGGATCAGGCAGTCGTACTGCCGGATCGGACGTCGGATCGGATGGATTTTTCGCGCATGTGTCTCGCGCTTAACGCATGGTCTTTGCAGCGTACCCCTCCGATGGCCCACAGTGCAAGTCCGACACCAAACCAACGAAGTCCCAACGAAGACACTACCGAGACCGGAATTTGGACTTTTATAACGGGGTCCGTCTCTGTAATGGGGTCCGTTTTAACGACATACGATTGCACTTCGGCTAGAACTGTACGCTCTTATACCACCGATTCTGGGTGCAGCATGTGAATGAGCATGTTTTGGTACTTACGCGGAGAGCAAGTCGTCAGCTTCTTGCGCAGGAGTTCGACAACGTCAAAACGATGCCGAGCTTTTGTTTTTATTTCAGTCTGCTAGACAATACATTTTGTCTGCAGTACCGAGGAAAAAGACCAGAAGGTCTGACGAGGCCTCGGAACCGCTGCATAAATGAAATGTTAAAAAAGGCAATGAAACTCGTCGACAGCAGAGCACACTAAAGCAAGAAGCGCTCTTAAATAAAATGCAATGAATAACAAAATATACATATCAATGACATTTATATAGTGCACATTTTTGATACTATAAAACTATACTATAATACTACAATAAAAGCATTAAAAAAAGCTGAGATAGCAAAGAGGATAAAACCAGATATTTCAGATCAGTTTGGAACATTTGTGGACAACAGAGTTTCTTTCACTATGCATTTGTATGTGTTTAGTGATATGTTAGACGTAATTAGCGTATGAAGATAACTTTGTATTAAGGAAGTTTGGAATTTCAAACGAGAGTGTTTGTCTGCCCATGTTTGTCCTGATTTGGGGGAATATATACTTGTCATTTTGAGTGTTGTAATGGCGGTCGGGTCTAGTGCATGCAGATGGATAGCTAGGTTGTTGAAGTCTGTGGTCATGAAATATGTAGAGTGCAAGTTTATAAATGAAGAGTTGTTCAAAGCTCAAAATTTTATACTTCTCAAAAAGCGGGGCTGTATGTGCATCATAAGCAGAATTGTGCATTAGACGAACAGCTTTTTTTTTTTTTTGTAATAAATGCAGATGTGTGATATTTCTCTTTGTTATCTGACCCCAGACAAGAAAGCAGTAATAAACCTTGATATATATGAGCGCATAATATAGTTGGTACTTCAGCCATTCCGGTAAAAGATGCTTTGCAGATGAAATTAGGCCTATTGATTTTGAGATTTCGTTTCGTATTTGATTTACATTGTGTCTCCAATTGAGGCGTTCGTTAAACCACACTCCAATAAACTTATGATTATCGACACGCTCAATTAGAGTTCTTTCGAACTGCAGTTCAAAGTGTGTATTGTAGGCGCGATTTATTGAGGAAAGAAGTACATATTTTGTCTTTTCTGTATTAAGAAATAAACAGTTTGATACAAGCCAGGATGAAAGTTCACTTAAATATTTGTTTATTGTGGTCTCTAGTTCGCTAAGATTGGCCCCAGAAAAAAATGCGTTTGTCTCATCGGCATACAGTATTAAATCTTTGGTAAATGGTATATTATGGATGTCATTCATATAGACGAGGCACAATAAAGGTCCTAGTGCCTAGCCTCGTGGTACGCCATATTCTATTAACCCTAGAGGCGATTTTATGTTATTATAAACCGTATACTGTGTACGAGATGTAAGGTAACTTGTAATAACCTTATACGCAGTCCCGCGTATGCCATATGTATCGAGCTTTGAAAGGAGGATGTCATGTTTGATGGAATCAAAAGCATTTCTACAATCGATCAATACAGCAATTGTAAAACGTTGGTCTTTAATATTACGTATTATTTCTCTTTAATGTGCAAAAGCGCTAGTTCGTTAGTTTTTCCCTTTTGAAAACCATACTGTTGTTTGATTATGACATCGTATTTAGAAAAACGTTTTGAAACCTTTTACTTAATTTCACTCAGTTCTAGTACCTCTCCATCACTTTATAAGAAATCGGTGATTGTTTCGATTTTAAGGAGCGGTGATGCATCTCTTGTTTCAAGTTATCGCCCAATTTCCTTGCTTTGTGGTTTTTCAAAGATTTCCGAGGTTTTCATTCGTATGCCAGTGCCCTTTTATTTCCGCCAGAAAATAACCCCTTTACAGCATGGTTTCATGAGTGGTCGTTCTGTCGAGACTAATTTATGTTCGTTTTTAGAATTTCCTGCTCCAATTGTTATGAATAGAAGAAAAGTTTATTCAATATACTTCGATATGACTAAAGCGTTTGACAAAGTCATCAGTTACTATTGCGCAAGCTGTTTTCATATAGTGTGTCCTGAGCTGTGTGAATAGTTTGACAGCTATCTTTCGTTGCGCTGTAACACTGTTCGCGTTGATGACAGTTTCTCCGAACTCTTTTTTACAACCTCCGGTGTTCCTCAGGGATCAAACCTGGGCCCTTTGTTGTTCCTGATTTTTATAAATGATATTGTGTCTTGCGTAGATACGTCTGAGCTTTTACTTTTCGCTGCTGAAATTAAGTTGTTCAAAAGCATTCATGCACATCAGGATTGCGATAGCTTATAAAAGGACGTGTTAAACTTTCTTCAGTGGTGTAAATTGAAATTATTGCTTAACCCCGCAAAAACAAAAGTGATTTCCTTGTGCCGGCGGCATACTGTTGCTGACTTAGGTATTATCTTGAAAGATCGCCAATACAACGTATACCTCTCTTAAAGGATCTTGCCGTGTGTGTTGACTGTGCTTTAACTTTCAAAAATCATGTGCCTTTACTCGTCGGAAGTGCTTATAAAGTACTTTGAATAATATCTCGCTTGACGCGTAATTTTAAACAGCCCCTTTCATTGATCCACCTTTTCAATTCCCTCGTGAGGTCTCGACTCGAGTTTGTTTCTGTCATATGGAACTCGATATCTAAGACACAGGTTTTAACAATCGAAAATGTTCAGAAGAAGGTTATCCGAATAGTTTACGATAGATACTTTGAGAGGTGCTTTTACTATAATTATGAACATATACTTCAAATGTACTTTCACTTCTGTCTGCAAGGAGATCTGTTCGAGACTTTATTTTTCTGCACAAGGTTGCTAATGATACATTTGATTCTCCGCAACTCCTTAAAAAGGTGAACTTCCATGTTCATTCACGTCTAACCAGACATTTTGTTTGCTTCTATGTCCACTCACTGTGCAATGCCTCACCTCTCTCTCGGATTCTGTCATTCTATAACGCCATCGCTCCACCCCACCTTGATATATCTACAGCTGTTACAATGTACCGTCACCATTTAATCTCACATTTGTCTATTAACTTTATATGTGTTTAGGATTTTTTATTTGTTTTCTAGTTTTATTGGTTGTGTGGGTGAACCAAGGGAAAAGACCGATATGGTTGTTTTTGGGCACCCAAAATAAAGAATATTATTATTATTATTATTACTATTATTAATTGGTTTTTCAATTCCTTTTGAGAACAACGGCAACAGTGATATTGGTCCATAGTTTCCTAAATCATGTTTGGAGTTTGGAGCCACCCTTGTCGATTGTTGAAACTCTCGCTATTTTTATTAGATCAGGAAAAATACCACTTTCAAATATACAATTACATATATGAGTAAGAGGAATTGAAATGCTGCTAGATACAAATTTAATAGGTGCTACTTTAAGCTCGTCCACCCCGCAAGCTGAATTGTTTTTAAGGGACATTATAAACATAATTATTTCGTGCTTAGTTACTGGATAAAGAACGATTGAGCTTGAAATATCGTTTTTTAGGTACTTCCTGTGATCACCAGGCTGACTTGCAGACGTGGATTCACCAGCTGATAGGAAATGAGCGTTAAATCGTGTCGCTAGTTCAGTCCCAGATAAGATTCGCCGTCTATTTTTAAATCGGGTAAGCAGTTGTGGCGCGGCTTAAGTCTAATGAATTTGTCAACAGCTTCAATACCTTTTTTTTATCATTCTGCGCGTCTGCAAACTTACGTTAAAAGAAAGCTTCTTTTGTTTTTCGAATATCGGAGTTCAGGCGATATCTATACTTTCTGAATTCCGTTATAATAGTGGTATCTCGAATCTGAACAAAGCGATTGGACATTTTATGTTTTTCACCTATCCTACAGAAACGTTCCTGCGTGATCCATGGCTTTCTAATTCTTCTATTTGTTCTTTTCGACGGTAGAGGAAAAGATGTATCATAGGAATTCTTCTGTGTTTCATAATATAGGTTGCCGACTTATCTGGATTTCTTTCGCACAGGACAGTTTCCCAGTTTTGTTCTTGTAATAAGACACAAAATGTATTTAACGCCTCTTCTTATATATAACGGTATAAGCGTGAAACAGATGTATTAGTAATTTTTTTGAAATCTAGGCAAAATACAAAAAATGGGCATGCGATTGCTTATTCCAGCGGTTATGACTCCTGACAGTACGTCATCTGGGTGGAAGTTTGTTATGCATGGGTCTAATAATGGGGATGAAGTGGCTGTTACACGGATGGGAGTTTTGATCCTGTTGAAGCACGCAAAAGACTGGATGAGAGTAAGAAACTCTACTTGGTGTGTGTTTTTAACGAGTAGGTCGATGTTTATGTCACCAACAAATATCACTTTGAGACGGAGTAAACTTACATATTGTAAAACAGAGCAAACAAGTTCAAAGAATGTACATTTCGTTTCATCAGCGGGGCGGTACAGGAGAACAACAAGTATACCTATACAACTTATCGCAATGCATTCATAATTGGGGGTTGACGACGATAACTATATGATTAACTTAAAAGCAACACCATTCTTTGTGTATATGGCAACACCACCACCAGTCTTCTGCGGTCGATTTTCATGGTCACAACGGTACCGATTAAAGAAAATATTTTATTATCAGAAGTGGTAATTTCAGTTAACTTCGAAATTACATTAGCAGATCGGACGACCCGGACAGCAAAATGGCCAGTATCTGCTATATTTGTGCACGTGGATGCAACTCCCATAGCGTCTGACATTGCACCTAAAGGAATAAAAATAAACAGAAACACTTTTGGAACCCGAACAACACGAATATATATTTGAATGAACAGAAGGTCAGGGTGAAAACGAGCTAGTGGTAGTTGAACATTTTAAAAACACCCCAAAACTGCGAAAAAGAGGGGACAGACAAACACACACACCTCTATGTTTTTCTGTCTTTTCTTTTTCCCAGATTTGGAGTGTTTGTACTATATATTTTAAGTTTGCCAACTTTCTAGCGTTTTATATTGCGTGCAACGTTTGCAAATATTTCCCGGATTTTTTCACAATGTCCAAAAATTCTCGAAGATTAGTTTTTATCATCTAAGAAAAACGAATTGCACCTTTTGGTATTTTAATATTGGACTTCTATAAACCTATTGTATTTAGAAACGGCCATGTATGAAACAATGCATTGTCCAGACGAGTGAAAACAAACACCCTACGAGTTAAGCGTTCTTGTTGACAATGCACAAACTTCATTGTTATTGATTTGTGCTAATTTTGAATACACTGTATAATATACTTATAAAATATGCGTTAAAGCTCAAGAAACTCGAAAAGAATCTACTTTTGTTCTTATAAATACCCTGTGTGCAAATGCACTGCTACAACCAAACAATAGTTAATTGTTTTCATGTTAAAGTTTCTATAAAGAAATTTGCTTCAACTTGTTTGGTTCGACGAAATGCTGTGACTAAATTCATGACCGACTGCAACATTTTTTTCTCTGACCCGCAGCGGATAATAAAATTGGCACCTCAAATGGTAGAGTAGTTAACTTCTTTCTTCCTCATTTTAACTACCACCTGCATATCATACCTAAAACTTCCGCTGAAAGACTGCATATGAGATGGGAATGAATTAGGTATGTAATTTATACGTTAAGCTTTCTTTTAAAAACGAATAAATCCCCATAGAACAGAAAATCTTGGTTTGTTTAAGGAATAAAAAGTTAAACAATGTGTAAATATATATTTCAGTTATAAGAATTCAATTTAATTACATTTTTAATATTATTTTAAACAAAAATCTATTTGCAAATGCTGGTACCAGCAAATCACCGATTTTTCTTGGTAACCTAAAGTGAGTATTGATAGCTCTTGCTGACGCAACAAAAATTAAGGAAAGAAAAGGGTTATCCTTCTTTCTTTTTCTGGACATTGTCACATCTTTATTGATATTTACATCTTCGAAACGATTAACGATTAATAAATCTATTTAAAATTAAACATTCACGCGGATCATAAGTAAATTAATAGCTACGGTTTTATCCCGTGGCTTCCTGCAAACAGTAAGAATAAAAATTACAAACCCTTCAACGGTAAGTGTTTTCTCTGTTGCATTGCAAAGCCATAATTCACATGGGAACTGTAATGTTAAAAAGCCTCCATCGTCGAGTGTTTGATTGCGGTACTTGCATGTACCTGCACAATAAATGGTAAAGAATACGTTAAAACATAAATATACATGAACGGTCACATTATAACTGTTACATCTTAGCAGTGGCGCCACATGGGAAGAAAAAGGCAGGGGGGGGGGGGGGGGGGGGCGGACCGCCCCGGGTGCAGCTTTCCGGGGGGTGTCGCGGCGGGTGGCGAGCGGGGGGGGGGGGGGGGGGGGGGGGGGGGGGGTTCGCGGGGGGGCCACGAGACCTGGGGGGAGGGGGGGGGGAATGGACGCGGATTACCGCTTGCGTGCCGCTGACCTTAGCGACGCCACTGCATCTTAGACTTTAGTCACATGTGTAAATTTAGCTAGGTCCTCCCAAGCTAAACAGTCTGGGACATTCACAAATTTCGTCTAAAAATTAAACAAAAAAATAACGTTTATGGCGTTCGTGCAACACTGTGTTGTCGCATCCCTCGAATCTGGCCAGTGCAGAAAAGGTCGTGCGTGATGAGCCTCGTCGCGAGCGTAGGAGAAGAGAAAGGGGCAACCTCTCGTGGTGCTGTGCGCGTCTTGAATCTTCTCCTCGGAACGTTCACACGTTCTGCGAATTTATTAGAAGCACCCTTAGTGGCAGAGAAGCTGTTGTAAAATCGCCATTGCATCTAGAAACAGACACTCCTTAAAAGATGACGTGTCAAGAAACCGCGCTACAATACCGGCATTGCTTTAACGACATGTCTTCGAAGGTTTTAGAGAAACGGATAAAAGATAACCTTTGAACCGGAGAAAATGCTGTCGTCTTCAGAATAGTTGACCCAGTCAGTTAATGTTTCAGTAAAGGCAATAAGCATTAAGGTCTATGTTTTCTTTCTTTTTTTTTTTGCGTAAAATATTTTTGTCGTATATATTGTTCTCACGAAGCTCAGGAATAATACTTGGTTACCGATTTTATTTATGCATCACAGGCACAGCGCCTGGTATTTTTTTATGTGGAAATGACCTCTTTGGCATGTTACAAAATAAGCTAACACAATATATTCGTGTAAATTTCAATATTATATATCAGATGTCTCCCAAACCAACTGGTTCCGCCTTCTAAAGCTGACTCTGTCTAGCCACATAATGGACAAATTGCCAGACTTGAGCCAAAAAATACAACAGTGAAGCTTAAATTTGGGACTTGTTTGTCGATCAAGGGCCGAGGTTGCCACATGAAAATTGAGCAATCAGAAGTGAGGCCTAACTCACACTTGCTCGTCGATTTAGGCCGATTTAGAGTGGGCATGTGGAACAGCCAGTCATGCAGTCAGCTAACGCTTTGTGCTTTTTCTTCGTACAGTTCACGGCGATGTTTCGCGGCTGTCCGGCCCTATCAAGCCCGTGGTATGCCTTGGAGGGAGCGCGCTTGCCGCAAGTTTCCGTGCTGCCACAACCAGACATCTACTCCTCCTGGCAACCTTGGGTTTCTGCTGCACTCCCAATCGTCGCGTCGCCTCAGCACAGCAGTCCAATGGCATCGACATTGACATCGTCACTGGATTTAAACTGCCGGCACGCCCCTCGGCCCTTCAGTGGGCATGTGGAACAGCCAGTCATGCAGTCAGCTAACGCTTTCTGCTTTTTCTTCGTACAGGTTGGTCCGTTTCCCTCTTTGCATTGTAAAAAGTCCAACAACCTCTCTCTACTGGTGTTCCCATGCCCACAAGTGCTGTTTTTATGTTCTTGCGAATGTATTTCGGGTCTGAAGCTTCTCCTGTCTGGTGATATTGAACTTAATCCTGGCCCAGATAAGAAAGAAGTTCAGACAAAAGAGATGAGTGAGATGCTTGTTTTACTGAGAGGCTTAAACGCTCGTCAGGCAAATTTTGAAGCTGGACAGAACCGAATCATGGAGGATATTCAAGCTATCAAGACTGGGCAAGAGTCAATTGAATTAATGGTAACCGATATTCAAGGGAGGCTTAGTACTGTGGAAGCAAAGATAGCCAGTTTAGACATTTTGGAGCGTGAGTTGACAGATGTAAAAGAAACTGTAACCTTCCTGTCACGCGAGAACGCCAGTCTGCGATCACGTCTTGATGAATTTGAGGACAGGTCTCGAAGAGATAATCTAATATTTTTACGGTGTTCCCGACTCAAACTTTGAGACCTGGGCTGTACCTGAAAGCAAAGTGCGTGACATCATTGCAAACGAAATGAAGATCATCGTTCCCCCTGAGGGTATCATCCATGCACATAGGCTCGGTCGTGTTTTTAACCCCAGTAAATGTCGGCCAGTTTTAGTGAAATTCTCATTATTCAAAACGAAAGACCATGTTTTTTCCTCCAGAGGCAAACTGCGCGGTAGTGCCACTTCCGTCGCAGAGGATTTTTCCCCTGCCACTCGTCTTGCTAGAAGAAAGCTGCTCGAATTTGCTAAGGCTCATACACAGTCTTTTAGTCTACGCTATAACAAAGTGTTTTTTGATGACAAATGTTTTTCTTACTGCGCGGCCAGCGATGCCGTTTGTGAGGTCCACGATTTTATCACGCCGAGCACGAGTTCCATTCGTGTTAAAGGGAAGCTGAAGAGCTTTTCGAAAAAAATGAGTTAATGGTTGATTCTGACGTGTTTGTGCCTGCTGAGTCCAAATATCACAACCATTTGACCCAAAATAATCCTTAAACGCGAAAAAAAGCCAAGAAATCAGAAGCGATCGCCGCAGCGGCATGCCATTGGCTAGCCACGCGTGACGCGCCGCTACGTCATAAAAGGACCATCTCGATTCTCGTTTGCTCCGTCGCTTGCGGAAGTAGCTGGGCGCCGGGTCTTCTGCTCTCGTAAATCGGGTTCGGCTTCTGATTTTTCGAAATCTTTCGGTGAATCCGAAAGAGGAATGTGTCCAGACGACCCTCGACGTGACAAAGTACGCGTTCCAGCCGTTGGCAAGGTAGGAAAATGACCCCCCGCAGTAATAAACACAGACGAGGAACCGCTTGCGCGGACGCGAGATGGCTGGCTTTGTACCTTCAGAATAAAAAATTGGCTTGCTCGTTATGTTTATACAGCCTTGATGGAGATGCGCCTCAACGGGTAATCGGTCTCTTAGCTGTAGATGAGAAATTTAGCCAGTGCGGTACAACCGCTAACCTGGGATTTTTAACGTGCATCACGCAGTAGTGATCACACGAACGCGTGCCGGTACGAAACTCATCCAGATCGAAACGGGCGGGGGCGGCGGGGATCGAACCCAGGAGGTTCCCAGCGTAAGCTTTCGCTCCACGCTCCAAGCTGAGACGCGTTAGCCCACTCGGCCACTTCCTCCCTTGTACCTTCAGGAACGTACTTACTGCTATTTATTGCAACCTAAAATGTTGACAATAAACGGCGTGCTATTGACAGGACACCTCAAGCCGGATTAGCGTGACCCTCCCCAAAACGGTCGTCAGAGGACAAGAATTCTGCACATATCGGCCTTCGTGCTTGCCAGCTGCGGGACGCGTGAGCGTGCAGGCTGCATTGTTCATCAAAGCTGAGGTTGTTTGAAGGGATAGTATAATCGGCTTCGGGCGACGGGAGAGCTTCCCCTGAGATGAGACGGGTGATAAGATAGGGTCGCCGTTCTGCCACCGCCATGTCCTTGCGCACTATGTGAATAACTGCGCAAAAGGTCCATCCTTGTGATAGCGGTACACTCTGCTGCGTTTAGTTTGTTTGCCACAAACTATGGCGCCATCATAGCTTTAGAAAAAGCGGAGATGTGTTCCCGGCACCCCTTAATTTGACGTCGAATTCGTGAAAGCTTCCTGGGTCTCTACATTCGCATACTTCTACCAAGCTTGGTTTACCGCATCACACCGCCACCAGGCGTTATCATCGTCCGATCGCATTTCTACGGCACAAAGAATTGTTGCATTACACAAAATTTATACGAAAAACACTGCGTAACTTGTAAAAAAAAAAAACTCAATTCAGAACAGAAGGTCATATGCGTTGTATTTCCACAAAGCTCTCCTGAAGAGAATATGAACGTTTGAAACGAAATTTATGTTTACGTTTAAAATATATGTGGCCTCAAATAATGTCAGCAACTGTAAAAAAAAAGTTTATGTTAAAACAAGTTGCACCGTGAAAGTCGCATTATGAATTGCATGACCACTTATTAGAGCAAGCCCTCCTCTCCCAAGTGACTGGGTAGCCGAGTAGATTAAAAGCAGAAGAAAATAATCTTGGGCTACCCAAGATTGTTTTCTTTTTTTTTCCCCAGACTTCCCGGGCCGGGGTCGGTCCGGAAAATATGGTCACTTCAGCAATATAAGAAACCGACACTAACACACTAATAAGGCGGTTAACACAAGAGAGCCGGTAGAAACCCGCTGTTCGGCTAAATGATCGCGGCTTTTCTAGCACACTGCACAATTCTAATAACGTAACAGCTTTTCTCTAGAACCGTCGACCTAAAATTCCTATCCAGTTACGTTTCCTCTTTGCTTGTGACTTTTAGTGCGCTGGATTGCCTTCTTACCTTCAAAGATGGTCGGCAGAGCGTCGGGCTCAAGCGAGCCTTCTTCAGATCCAAACCCATATGTACATACATAGTTTTCATATGCGCCGTCCGAAACCCGTTTCGAACAAAAAACGGTGTACTTGCTCAAACCCACCTACCCCTTTAAAATCTCGGTGACGAAGTGGAAAAGACGGTAAGCGGGAAGAACAACGACGACGAGCGCTGTTCATGAAAGCTGGCGGCTACACACGAGTAGGGCACCGTGCAACAGCACGAGTCATTTGGTTTGGTGCCACGAGAATTCTGCGAACACGTGAACAGACAAGAGAACAATTAGCACGTAAGGCGATTGAGTCAATAGCATGACCGGTCAACGGATAAAAGCAAGCGCTATGCAGCGGCAGAACAACGACGGCTCAAAAAGACACTAGAGCAGCCTACGAGGAAAGCGCGGCCAGCCGCGGCGGGGTCCCCCATCCGGTCCTTTTGTGACGGCGGCTGACGGGCTTCCTCCTCTCTCCCCTTTCCCTCTGCTTTGGAGAGGCGTG